ATTGGAAAACCATTTGGGGGGAAAAACAAATCCTTGTGAGGGTTCAAAAAATATTTCGCAACTTAGTTGGTCTTGGGCTTGGTGGGCTGGAGTTCCGACTAAGTTGTGAAATAATTCCCAACCCTCCTTGGTTGGGTATTTGTTCCCAACCCTCCTTGGTTGGGTATTCGTTTTGAATAGAGCAGTGTGGTCGCGTCCCTTCTCCTCCCGCCTCTTCCTGTCTTGCCCGCGGGGGGCTGCGATCTGTGAAACTGTCGCCATTTTCGAGGCCTGCTGGGGGGCCCAGCACAGTGAGGGCCACGCGCGGATTCAAATTAGACCTCGCCATCCCTGGGGGGCTGCGATCTGCGAAACTGTCGCCATTTTCGAGGCCTGCTGGGGGCCCAGCACAGTGAGGGCCACGCGCGGATTCAAATTAGACCTCGCCATCCCTGGGGGGCTGCGATCTGTGAAACTGTCGCCATTTTCGAGGCCTGCTGGGGGGCCCAGCACAGTGAGGGCCACGCGCGGATTCAAATTAGACCTGGCCATCCCTGGGGGGCTGCGATCTTCGAAACTGTCGCCATTTTCGAGGCCGGCCTGCTGGGGGGCCCAGCACAGTGAGGGCCACGCGCGGATTCAAATTAGACCTCGCCATCCCTGGAGGGCTGCGATCTGCGAAACTGACGCCATTTTCGAGGCCTGCTGGGGGGCCCAGCACAGTGAGGGCCACGCGCGGATTCAAATTAGACCTCGCCATCCCTGGGGGGCTGCGATCTGCGAAACTGTCGCCATTTTCGAGGCCTGCTGGGGGGCCCAGCACAGTGAGGGCCACGCGCCGATTCAAATTAGACCTCGCCATCCCTGGGGGGCTGCGATCTGCGAAACTGTCGCCATTTTCGAGGCCTGCTGGGGGGCCCAGCACAGTGAGGGCCACGGGCGGATACAAAGTAGACCTCGCCATCCCTGGGGGGCTGCGATCTGCGAAACTGTCGCCATTTTCGAGGCCGGCCTGCTTGGGGGCCCAGCACAGTGAGGGCCACGCGCGGATTCAAATTAGACCTCGCCATCCCTGGGGGGCTGCGATCTGCGAAACTGTCGCCATTTTCGAGGCCTGCTGGGGGGCCCAGCACAGTGAGGGTAATCGCCGCGGATTCAAATTAGACATCGCCATCCCTGGGGGGCTGCGATCTGCGAAACTGTCGCCATTTTCGAGGCCTGCTGGGGGCCCCAGCACAGTGAGGGCCACGGGCATATTCAAATTAGACCTCGCCATCCCTGGGGGGATGCGATCTGCGAAACTGTCGCCATTTTCGAGGCCTGCTGGGGGGCCCAGCACAGTGAGGGCCACGCGCGGATTCAAATTAGACCTCGCCATCCCTGGGGGGCTGCGATCTGCGAAACTGTCGCCATTTTCGAGGCCTGCTGGGGGGCCCAGCACAGTGAGGGCCACGCGCGGATTCAAATTAGACCTCGCCATCCCTGGGGGGCTGCGATCTGCGAAACTGACGCCATTTTCGAGGCCTGCTGTGTCCCTCCCCGTTTTCCCGGGGGGGGGGGGGGGGGAAGTGGCTAGGAGTGCTCAGGAATTGTAAATCATCAGCTTTATCAAGCCCTTTTCCTGTAGCCAGTGTCCTGCGAGTCTCCCGAATTCCGTCTGCAGACATATTTAACCCTCGCTCCGTCATCGCCCCCTTATAAAGTATCCTAAACTATTTGCGCCCCGCTTTTGCGCAGGGGTTGGGTACGTCGCCAGGGTAATTTTGAATAGAGCAGTGTGGTCTCCACTCATTCCTCCTCCTCCCTCCCTCCCTGCCTCTTACTGTCTTGCCTGCGGGGGGCTGCGATCTGTGAAACTGTCTCCATTTTCGAGGCCTGCTGGGGGGCCAGCACAGTGAAGGCGACGCGCAGATTCAAATTAGACCTCGCCATCCCTGGGGGGGTTGCGATCTGTGAAACTGCCGCCATTTTCGAGGCCTGCTGGGGGGCCCAGCACAGTGAGGGCGACGCGCAGATTCAAATTAGACCTCGCCATCCCTGGGGGGGCTGCGATCTGTGAAACTGTCGCCATTTTCGAGGCCTGCTGGGGGGCTCAGCACAGTGAGGGCGACGCGCAGAGTCAAATTAGACCTCGCCATCCCTGGGGGGCTGCGATCTGTGAAACCGTCGCCATTTTCGAGGCCTGCTGGAGGGCCCAGCACAGTGAGGGCGACGCGCAGATTCAAATTAGACCTCGCCATCCCTGGGGGGCTGCGATCTGTGAAACTGTCGCCACTTTCGAGGCCTGCTGGGGGGGCCCAGCACAGTGACGCCACGGGCGGACCCAAATTAGACCTCGCCATCCCTGGGGGGCTGCGATCTGTGAAACTGTCGCCACTTTCGAGGCCTGCTGGGGGGTCCTGCATAGAGGGTAATCGCGGCGGATTCAAATTAGACCTAGCCATCCCTGGGGGGCTGCGATCTGTGAAACTGTCGCCACGTTCGAGGCCTGCTGGGGGGGCCCAGCGCAGTGACGCCACGCGCGGACCCAAATTAGACCTCGCCATCCCTGGGGGGCTGCGATCTGTGAAACTGTCGCCACTTTCGAGGCCTGCTGGGGGGGCCCAGCACAGTGAGGCGGCGCGCAGACCCAAATTAGGCCTCTCCATCCGTTGGGGGGCTGCGATCTGTGAAACTGTCGCAACTTTCGAGGCCTGCTGGGGGGCCCAGCACAGTGAGGGCCACGTGCGGATTCAAATTAGACCTCGCCATCCCTGGGGGGGCTGCGATCTGTGAAACGGGGGCGCCACGTTCGAGCCTGCTGGGGGGCCCAGCAAGTGGACGCACACTCAGATTCAAATTATACCTCGCATCTGGGGGGCTGCGATCTGTGAAACTGTCAAATTAGACCTCGCCATCCCTGGGGGGCTGCGATCTGAGAAACTGTCGCCACTTTCGAGGCCTGCTGGGGGGTCCGGCCAGCACAGTGACGTGACGCCACGCGCTGACCTAAATTAGACCTCGCCATCCCTGGGGGGCTGCGATCTGTGAAACTGTCGCCAATTTCGAGGCCTGCTGGGGGGGCCAGCACAGAGACGCCACGCGCGGACCCAGGTTAGAACTCGCCATCCCTGGGGGGCTGCGATCTATGACCAGCACAGTGACGCCACGCGCGGACCCAGGTTAGACCTCGCCATCCCTGGGGGGCTGCGATATGTGAAACTGTCGCCACTTTCGAGGCCTGCTGGGGGGCCCAGCACAGTGACGCCACGCGCGGACCCAAATTAGACCTCGCCATCCCTGGGGGGGATTCGATATGTGAAACTGTCGCCACTTTCGAGGCCTGCTGGGGGGCCCAGCACAGTGACGCCACGCGCGGACCCAGGTTAGACCTCGCCATCCTTGGGGGGGCTGCGATCTGTGATCCCTGATTTCGAAGTGGCTAATCAGCTGTACCAGTTTTATCTAGTCCTTATCCTGTAGCCAGTGTCCTGCGAGTCACCCGATTTCCTTCTGCAGACATATGTAACCCTCGCTTCGTCATCGCCCCCCTTATAAAGTGTCCTAAACTGTTTGCGGCCCGCGTTTGTGCAGGGGTTGGGTACGTCGCCAGGGTAATTGGTTTTTGTGTTTGCTGGAACCCTCACAAGGATTGATTGGATGTGTTTGGGTTTTTTGGGTTTTTCACTGGCTGTTCAATGATTTTCCACATATAGAATGCTTTCTGTATTGTCCTCTCCAACTGCTTATTCCCCTTCCTCCTCGTCCCCTTCCTACTAGCAAGCCTCACCATGTTTCAACCGTCTTGGGAGGATCACACAGCAAGGCAGTGACGCAACGCAACAAACAGGCAAACCAAACACGCAACGCAAACATGCAACACACGGCAACCAAACAGCACAGAAAGTAAAAAACGTAGCAGTGTAAAAACACACAGGCCACCAAACAACCGATCTACTACTACTACTACTACTACTACTACTACTACTACTACTACTACTACTACTATTACTACTACGATTAGTATTATTATTACTACTACTACTACTACTACTACTACTACTACTACTACTACTACTACTACTGCTACTACTACTACTACTACTACTACTACTACTACTACTACACTACTACTCTAACCAATTACTACTACTACTACTACAATCACTACTACTACCACCTACTACACTACTTACTACTACTACTACTACTACTACAACACTACTACTACTACGACTACTACGACTACGACTACTACGACTACTACGACTACTACGACTACTACTACTACTACTACTACTACTACTACTACTACTACTACTACTACTACTACTACTACTACTACTGCTACTCCTCGTCCTCCTCCTTCTCTTCCTCCTCCTCCTCTTCTTCCTCCGCCTCCTCCTCCTACTCCTACTGGGGTGTCCTGAAACATCCTGGGGCTTCTTGGGGCCCTCATGAAGCTTCTTGGGTCCTCTTGGGGCATCCTCGACTCGTGCTGAAATGCCGTCGCAGCCTTTGAGACGAGCTGGGGAGCTCCCATCGGTAACCGCTGTCGCGGCCGCATCAGCTGTGCTAAACCAGCTCGCCGATGTGATCTCGGCTCCCGGTTGTGCCAGCACTGTTTCTTATGTTGTGGGAGGGCGGGTGGGAATGGGCATGCCATGCATGTCTCGCTCGAGCTGACTCACTTGACTCCTACTCCTACTCCTCCTCCTCCTTTCCTCTTCCCTCCTCCTCCTCCTCCTCCTCCTCCTCCTCCTCCTCCTCCTCCTCCTCCTCCTCCTCCTCCTCCTCCTCCTCCTCCTCGTCCTCCTCCTCCTCCCCGCCCCCCCTCGCTCCACCCTTTGGCTCGCTCCCCTCGCTCCCCTCGCTTGCCCCCGTACCCCCCCCCCCCCTTCGCTCCGCCCGCGCCCCTCCCCGCTCATTGGCTCCCTTTCGCCCGGTCGGGCAAGGGGAGGGACGCCCCAAAAACGCGATTTGAGTGAGGCACAAGCGGAGGGGGGCGCGAGGAAGGCGAAGAGGCGGGGCCCGCTCAGAACATGCAGTCCGTCGCGGGCGTGCCGAGGAAGTGGGGTCGACACCGATTCCAGGATTCCCCGCTGTTTTTTTACATGTTTCTAGATCTCGCGAAGATCAGCTTTGGTTTGTGTCTGTGCCGATCCGTCCCCCGAGATCCCCCCCGTGTTGCCGCCTTGGCTTCGCCTTGTCTTGGCCCGCGAAGAACGGTACCCAGACATGCTCCCAAACCCGGCGACTCGAAAAAATCGAGCCGGCTGAAATGTCAACCCACTGGAGTTACAAGGGGATCCCGCGGTCGGCGTAACAGGGAAACGCGTCGATTCGGGCCAGATCCGTCGTGTTCCCCGCCTTCGCCCCTTGAGGGCAGAGCCGGCGTCAAGAAGTTCTGCTCGCGCGTACACGCATTCGAGTGATATCCCCGCGCGCACACACACACACACACACACACACGCGCACGCACGCACGCACACGCGCGCTCGCACACGCACACGCACGCACACGCACGCGCGCGCACTTCGCACTTGTTTTGAGTCGCAGCGCTGCAGAGGCGATCCGCGCGCGCGCTCTAGTGGGCCAGACTCGGACACGCACACGCGCGCACTTCGCACACGGCAGCAAGCAAGCAAAATGCCTGCACCCGCAGGCCGCGCCGCCAGCCGCACCGCAGGCCGCGCCGCTGGCGGAGGGGCCCAAGGCTCGCAGCAAAGACCGCCGTCGGAGCTCCGCGCAGGTTTCTTGGATCGTCGCCGGACCCCCCTCTCCCCTCGGGACCCCCACCTCCTCTTCCTCATCCCTCTGCTTTCGTGGCCGCCCTCTTCCTGCTTGTCCTTGGCCAGTTTGCTCGCACGGTGGAGTCCCCCCCGTCCCATCGGTTGGGAAGCGGGCAAGGTTCCTCCCCACCTCCTCTTCTCGTTGTGAGAAAGCCACGACGGGAGGTTTTTGGTAGTCTCCAGCCTCCAGGGGCCCTCAACGGGTCCCAGGACCATCAAAAAACGGCTCGGGATAAAGTGCCAGTCCTTGGGAAGGGGTCCAGATCTCCCGTAGTCCACGTCGTGAAAAATCGCAGCGTCGTAGTTCTGGCAACGTTTCTGAAGGCCTTCGGCGACCTCCCTGCAGAGGAACAAAAAGCAGCAGAAGCACAAACTCTCGAAGCTCTGGTCAGATCTCTTACATCGGCGATGGACCCCCCTGCCTGGCGCGCGGAGCGCGCTAGGGGCGGTGCCAGTGGCGCCACCAGGGAGGCCTAGTGCCGATCCAAGAAAGCCGAGCGGACCTCCGAAAATCTTTGCTGGGCGGGCGGGGCTAGGACAAGGAGACGACCGTTCCACAGCGCTGCAGAACGCTCTCAGAGCGTTCCAGAGACCTCTGAGAAGGCCGCGCCGCCCGATACATCCTTCAGAAGTGCCGGGTCTCAGAGCGTTTCGGAGTGATCCCTGTCCGATGTTTTCTTGTCCTGGCTTCGTCTCACCCTGAGATCCGACACGGGAATAAATGCAACATCTTGCACAAAACACACAAAAGAAAGAAACAAAAAAACGGAGCCCTGGACCCCATCTTCCTGCGCCATTTCTCGAGGCCCGATTCGAGGCGAAATCGCTTGTTGTGAGACAGTAGACCGGCATGGTCTCAGGGTATAATGCATATGCAGCTTCTCGGTTCTCGACAGGTGTTCAGCATGGGCGACGACGAGGGCGCCGAGGAGTGCGCCTTCGACGCCGCGTGGGCGGACGCCACGGGCGACCTGCCGCCAGAGGCCCCGCCAGCTCCGAAGGACCCGGCCTGTGCTCAAGAAGCCACGGGGGGGCGGCGGCCCACTGGCAGAGGGTCCGAAGCAAAGGTCGGGTTCGGTAGCAAGTCATGGGAGCCTCGTATACACCTCGTAATTCCAGCTTTCGAGTGCCGTAGCGTCGAGTAGACTCTGGTAATCGATGAGTTAGCGCCGAGTCAGCGTCGAGTAGCGTCGATGCAGCGTCGACGACCGTCGATGTAGCGACGCTTAGCCTCAACTAGCGTCGACTCGTGTCGATTAGCGTCGGATATGCCTAGATCGTCCAGGACGGCCACCAGGGAGCCGATTTATAAACCCGAAAACGAGTTCATCTCGTTGTGAAGACACGACGAGGCGGTCTTTTGCAACTCTCAGCCTCTGGGAGCCCGAAACGGTCCATATCTCGCGGTCTTGCCTGCATCCTCTTTCACCTCCTTCCTCTACTTATCTGCTGCCCTATCGGCTCAGGTGTTAGCACGGAACGCTTCTGAGCCTTCAAGGGCGCTCTGGACCGGACGGCCGCCGCCCCGCCCCGAGGAGTTCAGCGCGGAGGACCTCCTGCTGCGCGAGGCGCTGGTCGGCTTCTACTCGGTGCACCGCCCCGACAACGTCGCGAACGTCAACAAGATCGTCGCGAAGTACCGGGGCCGTGGCGCCAGCACGCTCTGGGCCAGCCTGTGCCTGAAGTACGACGTCCCCGCGCACGAGGCCGTCGCGGTATAGGTTTCAGTCGGGCCTGTCCCTCTACAGGAGGAATATTCAGGAGGAGTATGTTTGAGCCATTTGGGGGGCATTTCTTGAATGTTTTCAATGTGTGCCCAAAATCCCCCCCCTGTAGGGGGACACGCCCGACTTGAGTATGGGTCCTGCCTCCGTCGCGAGGTCTGGCCCCCAGGTCAGAGCAGCGGGATCTGGCCTTCGGCGGAGCCCCTCGACGCCACGGCTGGACGCTGCTCGAAAAAAATTGGTGCTTGAGCCACGGGGGGGGGTCCGGAGGCCGCTTCTGAGCCGCCGGTGTCTCAGCTCGCCCTGCTCCGAGTCTGCGGCTCTCGCTGCCGCCCTGCGTCCTGGCCCCCAGGGGCCCCGAGGACCTCCAGAGACGTCAGTAAAGTCCACACACACACACACACCACACAAAAAAAGCGTCCCAAAACCACTCGAGGTCCGCGGGTCGGAGCGGGTCCGTCACAGGTCTGCCGCGCCGTGCGGCGCCGCGCCGGTGCCCGCGGCACGGGCTCGGACAACCGCGTCGCTGCAGTCCGCGCGGACGTTTGCCCTGGCATCGCTCGGACGTGTGCATTTTTCCCTCGGCGAGGACCATCGAGGAGCATCCTTGATCATCTGGCGAAAAAACCACGCACGAAACCGAAAAAAACACAGAAAATGGGCGTCCGAGCGATGGCCAGTTGCACCGTGCGTTCGTGAACTGGACCCCTGCAGCATGTTTTCAGGTGGGCGTTTCGCGTGGACGTTACGACTCACTCTGGCGTTCCACGCGGGCGTTTCGGCCACAGGTCGCGTGGGCGGTCTGCTGCGCTCCTGACCTTGCTGCGCCGCTGGCCTCGCCTCGCATCGCACTGCTTGGCGCTGCTGCTTCTCCTCATCCTCCGCCTCCTCCTCCTGCTCTAACCTCCCCTGCTGCTCGCCTCCTTTTCATGTAGCCACGGGGCGGAGGAGGAGGAGGAGAATGAAGAGGAGGAGGAGGAGGAGGAGGAGGAGGGAGACATTTCGAGCTTGTAAATTCAGTGTTCATCAGCTTGTTGCGCCTCCGATGTGCTTCATGCAGTGCAGGACGAGCCGCTCCAAGGCGTGGTGGAACCCTCTCGGACGGCCGACGCGCCCGACGCGTTCGTTCTCCAGGCCCGCCACGTTTCGGAGATTCCCGACCTGTCCTCGTCCCGAGTTATGCTTGGGTTCCTTTCCGAGACATCCGGCGTCTCTAAAAAAAGGATGCGTTTTTTTATCGTTTTCGGATTCTCGGGGCCCTTCCGGGGCCTCGTGGCCGTCAAAAAACGGCACCGGATGAGAAGCCAGTTTTGGGGAAGTGGTCGATAGATCGGGGTCCCGTGTCTTGAACAAGCCGAGACGACGGATGTGTGGGCTTGATTCTTTTACAAGCACCACCGCGCTAAACTCGTTTGGGCATACCCGAAACGACCATACCCAAAACGGTAATACCCAAAACGACCACTCCAAACTCGTTGAGGCATGCTCGACATCATTGGCATATAGGATGCCAACGTACACTTCTTACGCACGCCAAACGACCCCTCATGCCCGCCTTACGCACGCAGACCTCACTTAGCTTCCCATAGTCTCGAAAGAGTCCAAGGGAAACCAACTTTGTGCTCATGTGGCCTTCGTTCGGCGACGACGCCCAAACACGTCCTCTCGTCGAGCCTCGAGGGTCGGTGCCCACACGTAGCAGATGCCGCGGCGTTTCCGGTTTGCACACGCTTCGGTGGACGCTTGGTTCATGGCGCACACGGTTCGGTTGGTGTCGTATTCATGTGATCGCAGTTTGTTGTTGGTTACAGGCCAGGGTAGATCGAATGTGACGCTTTGTTGTTTGGATTTCCCACGTCTGACGCATGGTCGCAAGATCGACGCGCTCAGCTCGGCTTTCGCATACGTCTTCGACATCCAAAGTAGCACAGCTGTCGTCCACAGCCCCTTGTTGAGCCTGCTGGCGTACCAATCCTTGGTCTCCACCTGAGGCTCGCCAGGGGCCGCCGACGCTAGTCGCAGGCGGATCTACGAGACAGCGGCCTCGTGCAAGAGGGCCTGCTTCGGGCGCCCTGGAGGCCAGCCTCCGATGTCCCGAGGCCACGAGGCCGACGTGCGGCCCTCGTCAAAAGGCCCTCTGTGGCTGGCCTCCCACATCCGGAGGCCAGCCGTCTTCTGTGAAACATACCGTGCAACTGAGGTGCGGCGACGACCACGGAGGACAGGGGCCCTGGAGGGAAGGGGTCCTGAAGAACCGAACTTCTGGCAGTTTTGTTTTTGTTCGGCTTGCTCCTCCAGGGGGCTCCTCGTCGCCACGGCCGAGTACGACCAAGAGGCCCTGGTGGGCCAGCTTCCGGAACCCGGAGGCCCATCCCCTTGTCCGTCAAAAGACACCATGCGGGCTGCTCGTGTGCGCGGCCTCGGGCCCCGCACGCGCGGCGCCGCATTCGCGCCGTGCCAGAGCTTTAAGCCACAGGTCGCCCCAGCTCCCCGCGACGGCAGCGCGCTGCCCCATCGGCAGGAAATGGCGCGACCATCATGGGCCGTGCTCTGGTGGATGTCACGTGCGGCGGCGCTCTGGCGCCTGGGCAATCTACAACAATGACGCCGTCAAGCGTGGGCTTACCCCTGTCCGTAGCGTGGGATGGCGATTAAGAAGTGCCCAGTGGGGCCGTCACGCAACAGCGGCTTGGGCGATGATCCATGCGTTTGGTTCCAGACCTGCACGTCGGTGTCGCCGTCGTCACCGAGATTCGTTGATCTTCATCTCCAGAATTTGCCCCAGAGGAGCGCTTGCTCGCGATATCGACATGTTGAGGAGTGTGAAATATACGCACGTCCACAGTGCCGACCGAGGCATTCCCTGCACCGGACGCCCTCTGGGCGACATCGGCGCTCGTCCTGCCCTGTCCCCCGCTCTGATCCGCCATCCTACACCACGTGGGGCATCATTCGGTGGCATCTGCAACGAGAACCCCCAGAAGTCTGTTTGACGGTCCTGGGGCCTGGTGAGGGCCTCGGGAGGCCAAAAGTCGCCAAGAAAACATTCGACGGTAGGACCTTTGGCTTTCGGGCCAGGGCTTGCATTTCCGGTGGCTGCCCGGAACGATCCAGGCACCCCCAGAGCGTCCTCGGTGAGGCGCCGCCGCTGGACGGCATCTGGAGGCTGCAAAACCTGCGGAATTGGAACTTTGATACGAAAGATTGCCGCTGAATTTTAAAAAGCAAAGGCGGGTTATCGAATTCAAGTCATCGGTTTTTGAATCCAAAAAAGCGAGGGCGTCCGATTTTGTTGTAGTTGCTTGGGTCATCATCCGGCGGTTCGCCGCCGCGGAGGCCGAACAAAAATTCAGCGAGAGGCCGTTGGCCTGCTGGGCAGCACGCTGTACACCAGCGCCCCGTTCGAGTACGCGGACGAGGGTAAGGCCGCGCGGCTCGAGGAGGCGCTGGCGGGCATCCAGGCCAGGAGGAGGCAGGAGGAGCAGGAGCAGGAACGGTGAACGGAGGGAGGAGGAGGAGGAGGAGGAGGAGGAGGAGGAGGAGGAGGAGGACGAGGAGTGAAAGAAGAAGGAGGAACAAGAGGGATAAGGGGAGGAGGAGGAGGAGGAGGAGGAGAGGAGGAGGAGGAGGAGGAGAGGAGGAGGAGAGGGAGAATGAGGGAGGAAAAAGAGGGCATAGAGGGAGGAGGGGGAGGAGGGGGGAGGAGGAGGAGGAGGAGGAGGAGGAGAAGGAGGAGAAGGAGGAGGAGGACAAAGAGGAGGCAGATGAGGAGGAGGAGGAGGAGGAGGAGGAGGAGGAGGAGGAGGAGGAGGAGAAGGAGGATCAGTGCAAGCCCAAGATGCATCAACGATGTTGCGATAAGCCCTCCGTTCAAGTTCCCTCTGCATATGCCCCTACAAGAATGCACCTTCATTGCGGGAAGTGGCGCATCAGAAGACAACCGTCTGAGGATCTTCAATCGTACCAAAACACATGTCGTGCAAATTCAACACTGCGAATCAGCGACGTGAATGTCGCGTCCTGACAATCCGAAATTGAAAAACATCGACCCAGAACAGCGCCAGAACACTATTCCTAGGACTTCAACGCCGCGAATCAACATTACTCTTGCGTCCGGACGGTCTTGAATCGCGCCAGAACACCGTTCGTGGGATTCAGCACCGCGAATCAGCGTAAATGTTGCGCCCTGACAGCCCTACACCGTGCCAAAACACCATGTCTGGGAGAACCATCAGAATCATAGAAATTCCACTTAAACTCTTAAGACGAATGCTCGCGGCGCTAAGGCGAGGGCCACATTTTGAAAAGGGACCGCCCTCAATCCGTGAACCTCTCACACAGAGTTAAAACAAGTGTGCGCGGCGCTACGGCGAGAGCCACAGTTTGAAAAGGAACCGCCCTCCATCTTGGAAAGCGCTGCAAATGTTAAAGACGGATGTGCGCGGCGCGAAGGCGAGAGACACATGTTGAAAGAGACCCGCCCTCCATCCGTGACAACGCTGCGATGTTTTAAGACGGATGTGCGCGTCGCTAGGGCGAGAGCCACGTTTTGAAAACGACCCGCCCTCCATCCGTGCATTGTTGCAGCTTTCAAGCGTCAGGGTCATGTACGGTAAGACAGTCTCAGGCGACACGTCCAGTCCGCCCTACCGACACGTCTGGGGGTGCGAAGTGGACGAGTTATTCAGGAAAAGGGATGAACGAGGGGGAGGAGGAGGAGGAGGAGGAGGAGGAGGGGGAGAAGGGAGGAGAGGAGGGGAGGAGGAGGAGGAGGAGGAGGAGGAGGACTTGCAGGAGAAGGAGGGAGGAGGTAGTAGGACGAGCGGAGGAGAGGAGGAGAGGAGGACGAGTGAGGACGAGGAGGACGAGAGGACGAGGAGGAGGAGAGGAGGAGGAGGAGGAGACCAAAGAAGGCGGAGGAGGACCAGGCCATGAGGAGGAGAGGGGAGGAGAGGAGGAGGGGGAGGAGGAGGGGGTGAGGAGGGAGGACGAGGAAGGAGGAGAGGAGGAGGGAGAGGAGGAGAAGGAGGAGGAGGAAGAGGAGAAGCAATAGGGGATGAAGGGAGGCGGAGAGACGAGGAGAAGGAGGAACAAGAGGGGGTAGGAGGAGGAGGAGGAGGAGGAGGAGGAGGAGGAGGAGGAGGAGGAGGCGGATGGGGAATAATTGGAGGTGGAGGAGGGAGATAAGGGAGAGAAGGAGGATGGGAGGCAGGGAGGAGCAGCAGTGCCAGGAGAGGAGGACGGGAAGGGACGAGGAGGGGGAGGGGGAGCAGGGGGCGGGGAGGGGAGGGGAGAGAAGGGGGTAAAGGAGGGCCCCCACCCCCTTGGGGAGCGCCCGCCCGCGAGGCGAAGGCTGGTCCCGGCGCCGACAGGGCCGAGCTGCTGCGGAGAGCGGTCCAGCTAGGCGCGGAGGACGCGCGACCAGCGGCAGCTCCACACACACACACACAGAACTCTGCCTCCCCTCCCTCCTCCTCCTCATCCTCTTCCTCCTCCGCCTCCTCCTCCTCCTCTTCCTCCTCCGTCTCCTCGCCCTCCTCCTTTTCCTCCACTTCCTTCCGACCTCCCTCCTCCTCCTCCTCCTCCTCCTCCTCCTACCTCCTCCCTCCTCCTCCTCCTCCTCCTCCTCCTCCTCCTCCTCCTCCTCCTCCTCCTCCTCCTCCTCCTCCTCCTCCTCCTCCTCCTCCTGCGAGCGCCAGTGCGGTCTGTCGCACGCCCACGCACCCGCCGACACTGAGCGCCTCCAGCATCGCGACGACCGCCAGCCGCCGCGGCCGCCAGCCCGGGGCGCCCCCGCCAGCGCACCTAGCGCGCCAGCTCGTCGGCCAGCGCGGCCGCGGAGCCCTGCGCGGCCTCACGCCCGAGGGCGGTGCGGAGCTGGCGCGCTGTGGCGCGGTGCAGCGCCGTGCTGAGCTCCGCGCCCCAGCGCGCGGCGAGGGCGCTGGCCGCGGCGTCGGCCGCCGGCCCGTCGCCGAGCAGCTGGCCGCGGCCGCGCGCGAGCCAGCGCAGGTGCTTCAGCGCCACTGGCCCGTGGTGCCCAGCCGTCTCCAGGCTCAGCGGCAGCACCCGCCAGGGGGCGCGGCCGGCGGGGTAGCGACGTCTCTTGTCGCGCTCCCCCTCCCGCGCCACGGCGCCGTCCGCGCCTGTGGCCGCGGCCAGGGCGTCGGATTCGCCCGGCACGCTGTAGCGGACAGTCACGTCCGCTAGCAGTTGCGGGCAGCCTGCCCTTCGCGCCTGCAGGTCGAGCAGCGCCTCTTCGCGGCGAGCCAGCAGCGCGGCTCCGCAGGCCTGGCAGGGCCCCGCACGCGGGGCGTCGGCGTGGCCACGCGCCGCGCAGCCGGGTCCCGTACACGTCCAGTGCCAGCGGTCCCAGGCTGGGACGTGGACCTGGCGCGCCGTCTGGAAGCCGCACTCTGCGTGAATGCGCTCCCAGACGTCTTCGATAGCCCGGCTGCGCGCCTTCGTGCCTCCTCCGCAGGCGCAGCGGAAGGCGTGGTGCGCCTTGCTACAGAGGGGCTGGCCGCAGGGCTGTCCGGCGCGCGCGCCCGTGCGCAGCCGGTTCTGGCAGCGGCCGTTGGGCGGCGCGAGGTCTTGGCCCAGCAGCACCCGCGCCGTGTCCAGGTAGGCGTCGTCCTCCAGGCGCTGCCCGGGCCCGCCGTTCGCCAGCTGTCAGCTGGCCGCGTGGGCGCCGCCGCAGGAGCGGAGTCGTCCCCGGTCCTCGGGGCCCAAGTTGCTCAGCAAGGCGTTGTGGTTCTTTTTGTCGAGCCTGCGCATGGGCTTTTTGTGGGCTTTCTCACGATGCGCCTGGGCAAGCTCCCGCCAGGGGGGCAGCGGCGCGGCCTCCTCCTCCTCCTCCTCCTCCTCCTCCTCCTCCTCCTCCTCCTTCTCCTCCTCTCCTCCTCCTCTTTCCTCCTCCTCCTCCCTCCTCCTCCTCCGCCCTCCTCGTCCTCCTCCTCTTCCTCCTCCTCCCCTCCTCCTCCTCCCTCCTCCTCCTCCTCCTCCTCCTCCCTCCTCATCTTCCACCTCCCATCCCCATCCCACCTCATCCACATGCTCATCCTTATCATGCTCATCCTTATGATCATCCGCATCCTCATCCTCATCCTCCCTCTCCCTCTTCCCTCCTCCTCCTCCTCCTCCTCCTCCTCCCCTCCTCCTCCCCCTCCCTCCTCCTCCTCCATCCTCCTCCTCCTCCTCCTCTTCTTCCTCTCCTCCTCCTCCTCCACCTCCTTCTCCTCCTCCTACCTTCTCATCCTCCTCCTCCTTCTCCTCTCCTCCTCCTCCTCCTCCTCCTCCTCCTCCTTCCTCCTTCTCCTCCTCCTCCTCCTCCTCCTCCTCCTCCTCCCCAGCGCCATGCGACGGCATGGCTTTCGATCCTTGCAAATAAGCCCCAAAATATGGGAATGCTCCCCAGAACAAAAAAAAAAAAAAAAAAAAAAAAACATTGGAAGTCATTACACATTCGGTGCCGATTCGTTAATTTTTCTGCGCCGCAGAAGCCCTCCCCCCCCACTCTGCGGCGTCGCCACGCCATGCTATGTCAGGCTACGCGTCCTCATTTCCGCGCTTCCGCGCTTGGGTTTTTTCAAAATGCTGCTCTCGCTGGAGCGCTGGCCTCAGTTTCGGGCGCTCGGTCCGAATCGTGCTCCCGCTGCAGGGCTGGCCGCATTTCCACGCTTGCGCTCGTTCCGAATCGTGTTCCCGCTGCAGCGTTGGCGTCATCATTTCCAGCGCCATGCCACGGCATGGTTTTCGGTCTTCCCAAATGGCCCACAAATCTAGAAAATGCTACCCCGAAAAGCCCATCGGAAGTGATTACACATTCGGTGTCGATTCGTTAATTCTGGCGCCGCAGAAGCCCCCACACTGTGGGGCGTCGCCACGCCATGCTATGTCAGGCTACGCGTCCTAAGTTCCGCGCTTCCGCGCTTGGTTGTTTGAAAATGCTGTTCTCGCTGAAGCGCTGGCCTCATGTTCGGGCTTTCGTTCGTTCCGAATCGTGCTCCCGGTGCAGCGTTGGCGTCAGCATTTCCAGTGCCATGCCACGGCGTGGTCATCGGTCTTTCCAAAAGGGCCCCCCACGATGTACAAAATGGACTCCCGAAGAAACCATCGGAAGGGATTACACATTCGGTGTCGATGATTTGATTTGTTGGGCCGCAGATGCCCCCCCCCCTCATTTTGGGGCGTCGCCACGCCATGCCATGTCATGCGACGCGCTGTATTCAACACCATGATATGTCATGGAATACCACGCCATGCTACGACATCCGATTGTGCGAGTAGCGAGGAGATCTGCGCCATGGTAAGAGATGGGAGGGAGGGGTAGGACGTCAGATATGACGCGAGCGCACCTAGCTTGTCCTCCTCCTTCCTCCTCCCTACTCCTCCTCCTCCTCCTCCTCCTCCTCCTCCTCCTCCTCCTCCTCCCTCCTTTTCCCTCCCCTCCCTCCTCCTTCCTCTTCCACCTCCTCCTCCTCCTCCTCCTCCTGTTCCTTCTCCTGCTCTTGCTCCTCCTCCTCCTCCCCCTCCTCCTC